GGGGGGGGGGGGGTGTATACATGCATATCTATGTGAGGATGTTCACAATCTCTTGTCTCTAGTTCCACATGAAAACGTTATGGCGTTGAAGGAAGATGATGACATTTTCCTGAAATATCAAGTTAAGGAGTCTCCATAATTAAGTAATTTTTCGTGAAACTGGTGATGGGGAATGGTACCGCACACAAAATCAAGTGAAAATGTTTGCTTTAAAGTATACGTCTCTGACCGTTGTCAGACTTTTTATAGACAACACCATAATTGATGAGTGGCAAAACTACGTAACATTTTGGTTGTCTGTGCTCAATACATGTAAGTGTAAGTGCTACAATATTTCATATTTTGTCAAACATGTACGTAGCCTCATCGCCTGGTTCAGAGACGTATTATACGTCTCTGCCTGGTTCAAGTTCAAGTTCTTTATCACTTTGAGTCGTTCGACTCACCAGTTACAAAGTAACAAAATTTGTGATATTAACTGTGCAAAATACAAAATAGCATTACACACACTCGCAACACAATTACAAGTGCAACTATACCTATTTATAATAATTATGTTCCTCTCGAATTTGCAAATTTTATATATTTCCCTAAGTTCGTTAATTCTTTTGTATTTTTCACACTCAATAATCCTTTCAATTTAAATATGCTTGGGTTTTTAATATAATAAGTTTTCAAAACAATTGCTCGCAAATCAGAATGACATGATCTTCAACATCATCTTAATTACAAACATTACACACTCGACGATTCAATGTTTTGATATCGCCCTTTTTCTAATTTTAAATTATGAGGAGATTTTCTTTTGATTTCTTTCAGATATTCTTTTTGTATGGGTTTACTCAGGCAGTTTTGTAGATGAAAATGATCGTAAATATATCCATAAAAAATTGCTTTTGAGAATATTTTATTTTTTCTGCACATTCTTCTCTAAAAATATTAATAAACCTTTCTTTAATTAATTAATAAATCTTGTTGTCGTTAATATGATATTTCCAAATATACCCTAGGCCAGGTTAATCCTAGCCTCTGATATATACTGTCCACTATGTAACTAATTGGTCAGCTGTAAAAGGTCAATTATCTTTTTCATTGAACCATGTAAGTTCATAGGTACACTAGCCCGGAACCGATTGACTGATTTTTGACACCTTTATAATTACTACACACAGAGAGGGCACCCCGTTAACAAACTTACTATAGACAGAGACGTATTGTAATATATACGTCTCTGCTATAGACAATAAGGAATCACACTCTATTTTCTCAAAAACTCAGTTACATGATGACAATAAAGTTAACTTCATAATGATTTTTTTTAATGATTACTCAAAATTATCATCATTTTCAATAATCTGATATGAAAAGTTTGTTCCGTATTAGGGTTAGTATTCAACCTTGCTCGATGATAACAGAACTCATGATAGACTATTTAAAAAAAAAAAAAAGTTTTAAAACAAATCATCTACGTGAGAAGTTAAATATCCTAATAAATGACTTTTTTTTTATCAAATTAGGAATTCCAATTTAAATATTAGTTGACCTTGGTTAAGGCACTCTTGTGAAATGAAATTGTGCCTGGGGCTGTCATTTCCTGATCGAGGGACAGCCAAAGTATCTTACCTGTAGGTTTTTACCTGGAACTGATTTATCTGTATACGGCTGTACGTGATTGATAGACAACGAACTGGATTAATTGACATGGACTTAATTGCCTTGAAATCACAGAATGTGACATTGATCAGGTACAGCACAACAGAATCCAATGTGACCACTGGTGAATGGTCAATGCATTATCACTGCCTAGATTCTCAGGTATATAGATATCATATACATAGCTTCGACGTGACGTCACGGGACTTCCGGTTTATAGTTTGGTCGCCATATTGGATGGGTGAAGGTTGCCGCAAGTAGAGCGTGAAGTATAGATTTTATCGAGGTCATGGGTGTTCATTGTACGATCATTGGCTGTTCCAACGAGAGTGGGCGGTGTCAAGCTTCCTTCTTTCGACTTCCAGCTGTAATCACAAACCAGGGCGAGAAAACTGAAGAGTTGTCCACAAAAAGACGAAGACTATGGCTATCCAGGATCAGCAGGGCAGATCTAACCCAGAAGTCATACCCCTATGTTAGGGTGTGTTCAGAGCACTTTGTCAATGGTATGTACGTGATCAACTGACAAATGATTTTCGTAATTTTGTTATTATTCTCAAAAATTTCACTTACAAAAAATGACAGTGGTTTCAAATATTTACGCTAATATTTGCTTGGTCTTGAAAAACACCCCATCTCAGTAGATCGGCCATCGATTAGATACAGTGTGTTATAAGGGCGAAGATCGGTTTGTTTGAGCCTGAACTTATATAAAAAATATTAATAAGAGTACTTTAATACAAAATATTCCTTTATAGGCTTATGAAATAGTTATTTTTAAGCATATTACAGGTGTTTGGTTTTTTTGTATTAGTATTATTAGTATTTATTTTTTTGTGTGTCATGGTATATTTATATATTTAATCATAGTCTAAGTTTTTTTTTATACATATATGTATTGTTTAATGTACATGGTGTTCATAGTGGAATACAAATCTGTTATTATGATGCATTATCAAATGTGATATAAACAGTGTCTGTACATATAGTCTTAAATTTTACAGGAAAGCCATCATCTCTCTACCCAGAAGTCAGTATAGACTGGGTACCTTCTCTGAAGCTGGGCCACCACAAAGTAACAACTCTGACTTTGCCAACCCCTCTACGTGGTACCAGAATCAAGCAACGAGAGGAAAAGAAGAAGAATGTTGTAGCTGCACACTCACTTCTTCAACTTTTCAACCAGTGTCGACAAGATGAAGTGCAGGTTACAGATGTTACAACACAGGATCACCCTGAGGTAACAAGTGACTGTGTCCAACATGTACAGACAGAACTGTCTTCTAGTGCAATAAGTGCTATAGAAAGTGATTATAACAGAATCACAGTGGAGAATGTTGAACTAAAACAGAAACTTGCAAACATGACAATTACTGAAGAAGGGTTACAGGGAAATGATGACAGGGTTAAAATGTTGACTGGAATCGCCACATTCCAAATTCTCATGACATTATTTACTTTCTTGGAAACATCACTTCATTCAACCCACAGCAGTGCTCTCACCAAGTTTCAGCAGATGATGGTTGTCCTTATCAGACTGAAGTTAGCCTTCCCGTGTCATTATTTGGCTGAAATGTTTCAAGTTTCCCCCAGCACCATCAGCAAGGTATTTTTGAATTGTTTAAATGTGATGTTTGTGAAAACGAAACCACTGATCTACTGGCCACAAAGGGAGGAGCTACAGGAAACCATGCCCATGGCGTTTCGGAAGCACTTTGGACTTCGTGCAGCTGTCATTATCGATTGCTTTGAAATCTTCATTGAAAGACCCTCTGGCTTGAAAGCACGTGCCCAAACATGGTCAAACTACAAACACCATAACACTGCTAAGTACCTGATAGGCATCACACCACAGGGGTCCATCAGCTTCATCAGTGATGGATATGGTGGAAGAGCTTCAGACAAGTTCATAACAAACTCATGTGGTTTCCTGGATAAACTGGTTTATGGAGACATAGTTGTTGCAGATAGAGGTTTTGACATTGCTGAGAGTGTTGCACAAGCTGGTTGTGAATTGAAGATTCCTGCTTTCACCAGAGGGAAACCACAACTGTCAGCAGTAGACATTGAAAGTACCAGGAAACTGGCACATGTTAGGATTCATGTTGAGCGTGTAATAGGTCTACTTCGAAACAAGTTTGAAATTCTCCACAAAACGATTCCAATTGATTTCCTTGCATCATCAGACAATTCAATACCCACCCTTGACAAAATTGTGACAGTATGTTGCGCTCTGACAAATTTATCCAAATCTGTTGTGCCTTTTGATTAGTTATTTTTGTGTTACACTACGTACTTCTGCATGTGTAAATTATATGTAAGCAATAATTGACCGTGACAGAAGGTTATATAATTATTTGCTGTCTTTGATACTGATTAGATGTACATGTATGTGTATCCAAAACTTAAACTTATAACAGTTCTTTATCATAAGTGAATGTTTTATGAAAAGCCAGTTTTGTTATGCTATGTATGATATAATGGATGATGCCCACTCAAGCAATAGCTTCAGTGATGTTTTAATTACATATATTTGAATCCTGGAGTGAAAATAGAAATATATAGTTTTTCAGTTCACGTCAGATATAGCACCTACTGTGTATTTATATGTGTACAAATTCATACCTCCAGGACCCTGATGTTGACAGTCTGAAAATTAAACTGTGAAGTGATAATGAAGATGCTTTTGTTTTATTATCATTTGAAAGTAACTAATTATACAATTAGCACTTCAATAAATAATATATACCACCAACATTAAAAAATTTCTTGTTTGACATGACCCTATCGACCCAGAAAATCTTACCAAAGACCTAACTTTTTATGGTCATCCTTTTTTCCCATTATTGTTTGTACAAGACTTCGAAAACAAAAACAAAATTCAAACCTATTACCTTGGGTCAGATTACTGTAATGTCAAGCGTATATTCTTAATTGTGGTGTAAGTTAACTTTTCTATATGCAATTCAAGCAGACACTGATTTTTTTTATATGAGCAGTTGTACCAGTACTGTTAATTCTAGATCTGTTCTCACAATATGTTAAATAAAAAAATATAATAACATAATTCACAAACAGATGCAATAATTTTATTTCTGACATGTTATTCAATAAAAACAGTTATCACAAACATTGCAGCATACCATTATATGTGAACACTTTTGAATTCACTTGAAAACTATCAACCGGCATAACATATTGGATCTTTCACTATAAGCAAATCGCAAATTAGAGAAGTACTGGTAGATACATGTAAATTTAAACTTCACATGTTAAACGCAAGTACATTGTACACTAACATTTTCAATTTTGTTTCATTCAAACCTTCAAACTACAAATTAATGTTTCCTGCTTCGTTTTTTTGGTCTAGAGTTAGAGTCCGTTTTCTTACAATCGGGACAATACCACTTTCCCTTTGGCAGTTTTGACTTTGTCAATTTTAAACAATCCAAGTGGAACCATTTCAATTTGCAGTTCTGGTTATCACATGCCACCATTTCTCTGTCAGGGGTCTCGGGCTGCTGACAAATGCAATAAAGATGATCTGAAATGCTGTCCTCGATAGGGTTGTTCTGATGGGAGTTGGTCGCCACATCATTCAATGGTCCAGGTTGACTTTTCTGTGAGTGGGAATAAAACTTTCCGACAAGCTCTGGCATAACTGCCATTGTGTGGAAGTCCATAGCTTTCATTTTAATTCCCTGCCACAATTGTTCATTTGGCTCTACTCTCTCAATGTGCATGTCTTGTTCAGTCCACACAACAAAGTCACAAAATTCCCGTTTAGTCACATGTATCTGCGTTTGGACTTGGTAATAGTAGGGATGTGCCGGTTTAAGTCTTTTCCCGTCTGGTGTGTCTTCTAAACATGACTTTGATCCAGTGTAACTAGTCAGAGAAGAATGTCGGACACTGTAGGGACACTTTATTTCCACAACACCAACACCACAACAATCACATGACACCAGTCCATCTGGGGAGGCACCTAAAGTTGGGAATTCTGTGTTAATGGAAAATCCAGCCTTTTCCAAGGAGAAGTTCTCATGGAGAAGTTCCATTGCTTCCTTGTAGGACCTAATAGCCTCTTTCTCATGCTCACAAGAAATGTATCTGTCAGCGGGCGGTCATGTTGCCCTAACAACCTTTATAACGGACACTAAAGTTGTTTATACCTTAAACAAGGGACAGGTCATTACCACATGGCCAGCTGTATGCCTGTTATTTGAATTTTCACGTAATGCGGTTTATAATGATTTTTTTTATAATTCGTTTCGAACAAATATATATTCCGTAAAATTTTCGACCGAACGTTTCACAGACGCTTTTTAAATGGAAAGATGTAGACGCAAGTGCTACGGAAACGATACGGAAGTGCTACGGTACGGAAACGCTACATTCTGTGTTGCATTTGCCTTTATGTCGTTAGTAAACCAAATTGCAGTATATGAGACTGTATACTACAATTTACAGTGATATGGTCAGTGTAGAAATACAGCTGGTACAAGGTAAACAAACAAGGCCGCCCGATACTTTCGGTATCAATAGTCGGAAAACATTCTGGGTTCGTTAGCATTTAGCAATATAGGTCATCGCGAAGAAATAAAGCAACTTGACAAATTATGACAATACAAATTTATTTGAAGATGTGTAGGTACCACAAAATTATTGTAAGCGCCATTCTAGATACGAAATTACCAAGTTTGTCAACGTCATCACACAGGGGATCGGTTTCGAGATTTTGAGTTATGCATAACATCAGTGAATAACCACAACACTAAAATTCAGCATTTCTAAAACCTTGTAAAAGTCGAGGGTATCCACAAGGTTTTAGAATGTGTATAAATACCTTTTTAAGTGTTGTGGTTTTTCAGTGATGTCATCATTACTCAAAATCACGAAACCGAGCCCCTGTGAACGTCGTCTGCTAGCGATGCTAATCTGACCGATTAGACATGGAATCTATTTCAAACGAAATGTCCTTGGAATCGTTATCACATACTGAAAGGACCACATTTATTAAACATTTCCGAGTATATATGCTTCTGAAAATAACGTAATATTCCAGTCGAAGGAAACATGAGCGTTTCCGATGAAACAATCAAGTCCGTTCACCGCCACATCACTTCAAAATACATGTAATCTGTCAATGCGCGAAAAACAACTTTAATTTCAAACAAGCAGAAGTTATGCAATTATTAACAATTTTTCAACATAAACACACTCATATGAAATAAATAATAAAGTTAAGTTTGTGTTCAAACCATTTTATGTGCGTGTGGTTTTCAATGACACGAGGGACTATATCATTTGCTTCAGTTACTATACTGAACAAACTATATACATATAAATGTAAATATAAACTTTGAACTGTTACCAGATGCAGTATACAGTCGATATGAATGCAATTTGGGTGACAGATAAATAGAATGTCGCCCGTTAAGCGATACGAAAATACTGTTCAATCGATATTTAGTTTGGTAATGTGGTGAAAAAGCCTGGCGATTGGTAATACATTTAAATATCACCATCTTACACTGATATTTTAAAAGTCATTAACCATTGTGCAGGCAACGCCAACTGAAAAGATCTACTTCCACATCAGAACAGCCTCTCACGGCGGCCTAATCCCACACTGAGACAGATAACAGCCTCTCACGGCGGCCTAATCCTACATTGAGATAGATAACAGCCTCTCACGGCGGCCTAATCCCACACTGAGACAGATAACAGCCTATCACGGCGGCCTAATCTCACACTGAGATAGATAACATCCTCTCACGGCGGCCTAATCACACACTGAGATAGATAACAGCCTATCACGGAAGCCTAATCCCACACTGAGATAGATAACAGCCTATCACGGAAGCCTAATCCCACACTGAGATAGATAACAACCTTTCACGGCGGCCTAACCCCACACTGAGATAGATAACAGCCTATCACGGCGGCCTAATCTCACACTGAGATAGATAACAGCCTCTCACGGCGGCCTAATCACACACTGAGATAGATAACAGCCTATCACGGCGGCCTAATCCCACACTGAGATAGATAACAGCCTCTCACGGCGACCTAATCCCACACTGAGATAGATTACAGCCTATCACGGCGGCCTAATCAATTCAATGTATGTAAATGACTTTGAAAATGACTTTATTGCTAACGGTGTTAAACCGTACGATTTTGGAGAACTCAGTCTCTTTTTATTAATGTATGCGGATGATTTGATGCTACTTGCAGAATCAGCCAATGAACTACAGAATATGTTAAATAGTTTGTCTATATATGCGAACTCATGGAAATTGACCGTTAATACGGCAAAAACTAAGATTGTTGTCTTTAGAAATGGAGGCCGCTTACGAAATAACGAGGAATGGTTCTTCGATAGAAAAAAAATAGAAGTCGTTGAACAGTTTACTTATCTAGGTATTGATTTTAAATGGAACAATAAATTTAATATTGTACAAAAGCAATTATCCGGGCAAGGTCGAAAGTCAGTATTTGCCTTATATACAAAATGTAAAAATATGAATTTAAACTGCCATACTTTGATTAAACTTTTTGACACATATGTTACCAGTATACTGTGTTACGCATCTGAGGTATGGGGCTCGTGCAAAGGCATAGATATTGAGAAAGTTCACCTGGAATTTTGCAAAAGGATATTATGTGTTAAGAAGTCAACATGTAATGTAATGATCTATTTTGAATTGGGTAGATTTCCGATTGTACATACCAGACACTATAATTTAATTAAGTACTGGTTCAAGCTTTTAAATACTAAGAACTGTGTTCTTAAAACTGCCTATGATGAACTCATGTATATGCCAAAGCGAAATACTGTTTTTAATTGGGTAACTTTTGTGAAAGACAAACTTTTTTCACTCGGTCTTGGCGAAGTGTGGCTGAATCAAAATAATGTGAACTCGTCTGAAGCCCTGCCAATTATTAAACAGAGAATCTTTGATAACGCACGGCAAGAATTGTTTGAATTATTAGAGAATTCCTCGAAATGTTTTTTGTATAGACATTTAGTTGATAATTTAACATTACAACAATATTTATGTAAATATATTCCAAAGCGAAATAGAATTGCTCTAACTAGGTTACGTTTATCAGCGCATACGCTGTATATTGAAACTGGGAGATATCGAAACATTGTAAGAAATGAACGTATATGCAGAATTTGTAACTCTGAAGATATTGAAGACGAATACCATTTTTTGTTCATTTGTCCATTTTATCAAGTTTTAAGAGAAAGACGTATAAAATTGTACTACTGGAAAAAACCATCTGTTTTCAAGCTGATTCAATTATTAAGCACAACGAACGTTAAAGAATTAACTATGTTAAGTAAATATATATATGATGCCACCCAGTTGAGGAATAGCATGATATAATGTTAAAATATATGTAGCTACATCCATTTTTTGTCCATTCTCCACTGCGTTATTGCAGTGTCTACCACTGTATTTATATGTACTGTGTACATACTGATGAGCTGTAAAGCTCAAAGTCAATAAATGAATTAATCCCACACTGATATAGATAACAGCCGTGAGGCCTAATCCCACACTGAGATAGATTACAGCCTCTCACGGCGGCCTAGTCCCACACTGAGATAGATAACAGCCTATCACGACGGCCTAATCCCACACTGAGATAGATAACATCCTATCACGGCGGCC